AAATATATGAAAAATTGATGTGGATACTTAAATGAAAGGTCTTGATGAGTCTAACATCGGGATGAGCTTATATTTTTAAAAATGTCAGTAGTTCACAAGATAGTAATGTCATTTCTTAATTAATATTGATGTTTTTAAAGATATAAGCTCATCCCCGATGTTACACTCATCAAGACCTTTCATTTGAGTACCTACATCAATTTTTCATATATTTATATATATTATATATATGTATATACTATATATGAAAAATATATCAAAAATGCATGTGGGTACTCAAATGAAAGCTGTTGATGAGTGTAACATCAGGATGAGCTTATATCTTTAAAAGAGTCAATAGTTAAAAAATAACAGTGCAATTTTACCATGAAAAGGCACAATTCCAGGTCAAGACTTTTTCAACGATACAAAATTTAACCATAAAAATAATTTGATTAAAGAGAAAAATTTTTGAACTGAGGCATTTTTTTTTTGTTTAAGACCTAAACTTTAAGTAAATTTTAATTGATGAAATTTCAAAAAATTTTTAAATTTGAAATAAAAAAAATTTACTAAATTCCTTAAATCAGTTATTTAAATTTTTTATTAATGTAATTTTTAAATGATCAAAAACTTAAAAATTCAAAGATTTTAATTAAAAATAAAAAAAAATTTTTTAAATATAATTTTCTTATTAAACTGTTTAACCAGATTAAATAAAAATAATTTTATAAGAGCTTTCACCACTAATGAGCTGCTGTTTGAACTAGTGGTTAAACCTTTTCATAAAAATAAAAGGTTCCCTTTTCGGTGGATAATTCTGAGGAGTGTATGTGGGACCCGCTTGTTATGCAGAGGAGGCAATGTGTAATACCTTATCCGAGAATGTCTAACCTGCGACACGGAACTCTTTTAAAACTTCTATTTTTATAATCGTGGAGACTGAATACGCGGGCATTACGTAACGAAAAAGGAGTAACGAGTCGTTACTGTGGTTGGTAAGACGGGTATGCAAATAGGCCACCGGTATAATTTATACCTGTCAGAATATAAGTAACCGGAGTAGAGACAAAAGAGGGATGATGATGAAACTGAGCGAGATAAAAATTAACCGGATAAGAGATCCCGGGCGTTTACTCTCCGACCTATCTTGCGACCCAGAGAATCCAAACCCCGGAAATCTCATGTGTCAATTTACGGATACTTCGAGAATATCCGGAAATTATCCTATTTTTTAATTGGTTCTATAATTAATTTAATAATTTTTTTATTTTTTATTTTTAGATTAAATAAAAAATATTTATCAGTTTCAATATTAAGTTTTTTCCTCATATGGTAATTTAGTATAATTATTTATAGATTAACTTTAATTATTCGACAGTTAATGATGTAGTCAGTGTTATAAATAAGTACTCAATTTTTTTATTGTCGTTACATCATATTTGTTTTAACAACACAAACAATAATTATTATTTTAAAATAAATAGATATACATTGTTAAAATATTTCCTGTGAAATAAATAATCAAATTGAACGCAATTTTCCAAGAAATACATCAGAAAAAAAATCCTTTTCCTTGTAATATTTTCCTATTTCAATAAATTATTTTATTGACAATTTCTTAACTTATATTTATGGAGGAAAAAAAATTCTCAAGTATTACTGAACAAATTTCATTTCAGATTTTATGATTATTTTTTTTTAATTCTATTGATTATTTCTAGCATATAGTTGATGACAAGGAATTTTTTTATTTATCATATCAATTTTTTAAATAATAAAATTTTTTATTACTATTATTATTATAAGAGAAACATTCTTTGTCTATGAATGAATAAAAAAATTATTATTAAGTAATTAAATAATAAATTTAACGATTTATACGACAGTTAAAATTTTTTTTTAAAGGTTTCTTACACTGATAGAAGGATTTGTTTATAGTTAAAATATTTGTTAATATTTAACAAATCATTTTTTACAGACAACTTTTTAGCCCTATTAAATTAAAGTTTTTTTTAGTAATTTAAAAAGATTTGTTAATATTTAATAAATGAATATCAGATTTATTAAAACAAATAAATCATTTTAAATACTAAGAAAATATTCGTTTTAATAATTGCAACGAAAAATTCTTTTATTCATCTTAATAATTCTTTAAATAATAAAATTTTTTATTATTACACTGATAGAAGGATTTATTAAATATTAATAATTAAATTTATTTGAAGACAATTATTTAATTATTTAAATTTCAATAAATATTTTTTAACATTTAATAAATATTTATTTGGGAGGAAAGTACAAAAAATCATCTTTATAAATTATTTGCATTAATTATATTACATTATTATAACGTTTATTGTAAAATACCAAGTTCTAACACAGCTCATAATTATCTTTCATATTTTTAAATAATAAAAACGTTAATTTATTTAGTGAATTTAATTATTATCATGTATTCCAGCTATAGAGTTATAAAAAGCGTCAAAAGAAAATTGCTATAATTTTTACATTAAATTTTTCTTTATTAAATTTATTTTCACCACATTATTCTCGGTATGAGCACTCAATACCATTTTCGGGTGAATATATCCAATAATTAAATTTTTTTTTTTTTTAAATTAAGATTAAGCAAAGAAGTTAATTTTTTACTCAGTGAATCTTTTTTCGGTTACCGAAAAAATAATTCGGAAATGCTCAGACCAGGAATCGAACCTGGATCTTTTGGTGTCGCGCCAACTGCTCTTATTAATATTATTATTATAAGAGAAACATTCTTTGTCTATGAATGAATAAAAAATTTATTATAAAGTAAATAATAAATTTAACAATTTATACGACAATTAAAATTTGTTTTTTAAGTTTCCTTAAACAACAGCGCAACATATGAGTGTAATTTATTTAATAATAATAATAATTGCTTGATTTAAAAAAATAACAGTCCACTAAACTGCGTCGCGGCATTCAGCGGATTAAAAAAAAAACATCAAATTACCAGCTATGAGAATATACAATGTATATAATTGCAATAAAATTACTTTTTTTTCTTATTTGCTTCGAAGCATCCATATTTATGAGGTCTCTGATCGAAAAGGTGAATTACATGAATATCTACGCAAAACACCAGCAATGTCACCTTCAAATCACCTTACAGTTCATATTAAAAACAAATAAATTAATTTTTCCCTACTTGCAAATTTTTCCGGTAGCCATGTTGTTGAGAAAAGTATTTAAACGGAAAACGACTGCAGATCAGCAGTCAACTTCTGCATTTTGAAGCATAAAGTTATAAAAAGTAAATATTAATTGTGAAAATGGCAAAAAGCTACAGTTCAATGTTGCTGCTGGTCTGCTTGGCCTTTTTGGTGATCGTCTCTTCTCCAAAAAATGAGGTCCAAGCTGACAAATCAATTGGAAGCTGCGTTTGGGGTGCAGTTAATTACGTCAGCAATTGTCTCGAAGAGTGCAAACGCCGCGGGCACAAAGGAGGACACTGTGGAAGCTTTGCGAACAACATTTGCTGGTGTGAAACATAATTTTTTAAGCACCATCCTGATTGATCAACGTCGCGCGTCTCAAATATTTCTTCTAATTTTTTGTTTTTGAGCAACCAATCGTCAAAAATGGAATCAGCAATTCATCGGTAATTTACAAAATATTCAATTGATGAAGAAATTATTATAAAACGTTTAACTATATCATTGAAATATAAATTAATAATACAATTGACACGTGCGCTGTTCTTTTACGTTGATCTTTTTTCAAGGAATTTATTGTTGTATTTTTTATCCAACTTGTGTGTTGTGATTTCAATAAAAAATTTTCAAGTCTATGAATATTGAATTATTAATCGTTTTTTCCCCAATTTATCTTCAATATTTATAATTAATTGTACAAATCAGACGAATGACTAGTAAATGTTAAACTATTAATACTTTTTAATATATCAAAATTTGAATTTATATATTAATATAAATTTATCATCTATATTTTCTTTTCTGTAAACACTGAAAAAAAAATTTGACTCAATATAAATATTTTTTATTTAAGAAAAAAATTACTATTAGGAGAATTTTAAATTTTGATGACATTAAAGTTATCAATCACTTGATTATTTTTTAATTTTTTTTAACAAATAAATTTGTTCCAAAAAATTATTTTTGAAAAATTGGATTTTTAATTTTTTAAAATTTCTAAATGTCAATTTTTTTTCTAATTTTTTTTTTACCATAATTTACTTGTTACAAAAATTTTTAAAATTATCAAATATCTGCTAAATTAATTTTCATTAAATTTTGATTTAAAAATTTCTTGTCTTGTTCATTTTTTTAGATTAAGAAATTCTATAATTTCGATAAATAATTTATTATCTTCATTAGATACTCATAATCTTATAAAATTTGTTTTTTTTAGAGCATAAAATTTTATAAAATTCTTTGGATTCTTAATAAAAAATTTTTCTAAAATTCTATAAAATTTTTTAATATATTAGAAAGTTTAACAAAAATTTTTTTTCAATTCTCCGCTAAAAAAATTCTATTGTATTGATAAAAAATAGAATTTTTTTCTTAGCAACTATTTTTTTTATCCAACTTATATGTTGTTATTTTAATAAAATATTTTCAGATCTATGAATATTAAATTATTAATCTTTTTCCCAGTTTTGCTTTATAAATATTTTATTATTTACAAAGCACTCAAATAACTACTTTTAAATATTTAACTATTAATATTTGTCAATTTATCAAAAATAATTGCTTTATAAATTTAATTTTTATCAATATATATTTATAACATTATTTTTTATTTAACAGATAAAATATTATTATTATATCGTTTTTACTTGTATACCTATTTTGGTTTTTACAAGACTGTAACCCATATTCTCTACATTTTTGCTATTACCACAGTAATACCACTCAAGTGCCACTTTTTGTTATCATATAACATTCATAATGTTATACCTGGCTTTTTCGGCCCTTTTAACTAACACTTGTTTCTTTTTGCATTCAACTCTTTTTATAATGAACATGTTCTCCGCTTTTTTATAATAGCCATCTCCTTTTTGTACATAACCTCTATTCTCAATACGGCTGTGGACCGACTTGTGCTTTCTGTACTGTATTCACCCTATTCCTCACCCCTTTCTATCGGTTGTTGGAATAGTGGCGATGGGGAAACCACAGAGAAAACCCATGCCAGTACAGTCGGCTACCGGAGCGACCTCCGACGGTTGGTGTTGGAACTATTCGAACAACCGTCGGGGATCGAACCCTCGCCTCACGACAAGATGCACGAACGAACTAACGGGGATAATGACTTAGTCCGCTCGGCCATCATCCCGCTTTAACAGATGAGAGCCAGAATCAAGAAGCAGCAATTCCAACAACAGCAAAGAGTACGACCACTCTTAAACAGCCGAAGACGTCACAGGCAGTAAACTCTTCTGCTACCGCAGAATTTTGTAAATATTGTATATATTGTAAATTTTTAACCCTTATCCCATCTTAATACTCCCCTCCTGACTCCTTCTCCCATCCCTGCATACCGCCTTGAGAAGGCAAGTTAAAGTTGCAATGGTTTTTTATATTTTAAAATTTTAAATTTTTCCATAGCATTAAATATATTCTTACAGTACTAATAAATTTACTTTTTATAATAAGAGAAAATTAATAATTTAAGAAAATATTTATATTTTTTCAACAACCGATTTTTGATCAGAGCATCATCTGATGACATATCAAAATAAATTATATTAGTGATTAAGTTTTTTTTTATAAGAATATTATTACTTAACTATATATAAAGAAAACGCTGAAAATAAAATTCTTTTTCAAACCAAAACCGCTTTAACAGATAAAATATTGAATCAAAATTAATTACACATTTCAAAATATATATCTCTAAAAATTCTAATTACAGCTAAAATATCTAATAAAAAAATTTGTAATTATTTCTTTAATTACTGAGATAATTTTTAAGCTAAAAAAAAAATTTCTTAATTTTTTTATTGTCGACAACTATCATTACAAAACTGAAAGTAATTTTAGATATTTTTTTTCAACGGGTAAAAACCCATTACTCATCAAGTTTAAAAAAATAAAACAATTAACGCCTTCTAAAAAAAAAACTATAGATAAAATTTTTTATTACGAAGTAACAAATCACATTAATAGGATGTTCAGCAGCCATTTTTGTGAGGGAAGTATACATACTGAAAATAAAAGGATTTATGATAGTCAAAATTTAATAATCAATGATATCAAAGCTAAAAAAATTGTCAGTATGTTGACGAAAAATAATTACTGTACATTGTTATTATTTTTTTGCTTGGCAATTTTTGCAATTGTTCCTTCTCAGCAGAATGAAGATGGAGCAGAAGTGTATATTGAAGGATATTGTCAAGCCTTGGGTTTAAGTTTTGACAAATGCCACTTTGAGTGCAGATATAGGGGTTACACGGAAGGCCATTGCAGAGGTTTTATGTATACTGATTGCTGGTGTACAGTACCGAATAAGAATCAATCGCCACCAAACAGCATTTAATAATCTTCATGCACTTATATATTTGATCCTACAATTCAAAAATTGGACCAGAAGATTTAATAAAATGTAAAAATCAACTAAACTTTATTAAAGATTAGAATTTAAAATAATTTTATTAATATTCATTTAAAAATTTTGTAATTTTTTTCTTTAATCATCCAAATTGTACACCATTTTATTTTTTTATTTTTTTTATTTTCCATTACATAAGCCCAACAGCCTAAGGGGCCAATAACAGGGCTACTTAATTTCACAAGTTGAAGATTTTGACAGTGTTTAATACTTAAATTAATATTTGGCTCTATATAAACTAAAAATTTTTAATTTTTAAAATTAGAGTGATTTTTATAATCATCAAATGACTTAGTAGCTATAGTAATAAGAAAAAAAAGAAAAAAAATATAATATAATAATGAATTACGACTACATATGCCATTAAAAATAAAATTTATTTTTATCCTAAATGTATATTATTAAATTATTTTTAATACAAAGTAGTTACAAAGTTATTTTTGTAATTTCAGTGTTTTTTCTTTTAATTTTGTTCCGTCGTACGATTAGTTTTATTAGAAAAATTTAAATTAATTAAACAATTTTATATTTTTTATTCTATAGTCAAAATTATTATTTAAATTGGTAAATAATATATTTTATTTTAAATTCAAACCCGTATTCTTAAGTATTTTAAGTTATTTAGAAAAAAAAGGTTCATTCATTTGTTCAACTTTATTTATGAGTGTAAATTTCCCAGTCTATGTATTGCAGTAGCAGTCTAGACAATTTTTTGCCTTTTTATATTCTTGTTATTTTCTAGCTTTAGAATAGAAAATGAATTTTTAATGCTAATTTTTGGGATATCTTCTTAAATAATTTTTAATCTGCTTATGGTCATAAATTTGATACCTGGGTTATATTACTCTGGGTTTTTACTCTTGGTAAATTTTGTATTTTTAATCTTTTAATTGCTAACTAAGTTTAGAAATATTTTCTGTAAACGTATCGCCCATCCAGGTAAAAATCTTAGCATCCCTATTCCCTTTCCTGCTTATTTTTTAAAACTGCATAGTTTGCAACTATCCCGCCTCCAAATTATTTCCTCGTTAACTATTCGTTACCAAATATTCCTACTCCTAATTTTTTCTGCTTGTATTTGTAACGCCTAGTTCTTACTCTCCTTGTAACAATTTTTGTATTTTCTCTAAGTTAGTTATACTTACATACTTTGTAGCGCACAGTCGCATTTCTTTACTTTAAATAAATTAAAGATAAACTCAACCTCATGGTTTTTTACTCAATGCAACATCTATTATTAGTCTTGCATTTATTAATTGTGAACTAAACTTTTATTCACAATTTATTTGAGTAACTCATTTATTTGGTATAAAATATAAGCTTTAATTTTATACGTAACATTTTATATACTTGCGGTAAACCAATCGCGAGTCAAAACAAATTTATAAATTTTTGATCATATTACCTACCTGATAAAATCATTTAATACTAAAATAATTTTTAAAAAATTGATTTAAAATTTTAGTTTATATTTTTTTTACCAGTAAAAACCCATTACTCATTAAATTTACAAAAATAAAACGATTAAAAGTGAAGATACTGTAATTGAAACCTCCAAGCTTTTTAAAATAAAACTATCAATAAAATTTATTTTATTACAAATTAGCAAATCACAATAATAGAATCCTCAGCAGCCATTTTTGAGACGAAAGTATAAATACCAAAAATGAAAGCATTTATTATAGTAAAAATTTGAGAATAATATCAAATTGTCAATATGACGAAGAAATTCAATTGCGGTAAAATGGTTTTATTTGTTTGCCTGACAATTCTGACGATTGTTTCTTCTCAGAAGTATGGAATGGAGGTAAAAATTGGAAAATGTCAAATCTTCGGGCGCAGTTAATTGTCTTCAACAATCCAATTCTGCAATTCAAAATTTCATTCAATAGATTACAATTTAAAAAAAAAATATTATTGATCTTTATTTTATAATTTTGTAAATGATTTTTAATTCTTTGATTTATAAAATTGTAATAAACTTGTATAAAACCAATCAATTTTTGATCGCATTTACTCCCTGACAAAGTCATTTAATGTCTTGCTATTGTTCTATTTTTTTAATTATCTCCGGACATTAAATAAAAACTTTCAACCTATCAGAGATAAGTGACGACAGTTATAGTTGTTATTGTCAATAATTTAAAATTACTGTGCACTAACTGTGTACTTGTTTTGAGAAATATAAAAGCCGGGCTCATTAATTCAGCAGTCGAATCCGTCTATTCGATAAAATAAAATAATATTTCAATTTAAAGTCATGTCTGTGAACTTGTTGTTAACATTGTGCCTATTTTCGGCACCGGTGTTTTCATTAAACCCGGAAATTGTTGAGAATACTTGTGATCATTTACAAACAAACCCGCCTTCGACGATTGTCGACTTGCTGGTCAATTGTCGACTCAAAAGTGAAATAGGAGATGAAAAATACTATAAACTCGCGGGATGTTTGCTTGTAGAAGATAATATTGCAAGTTTAATTATTTATTATTAATATTTATTGTCGATAATAATTTTTAATGATTATTTTTTATATCAGAAATTGTAATAATTATTAATTATATAATTATATTTAATTTTAATTGATTTTTTATAGATCGATGAAAATAATTCGTTCAAGTTGGAAGCAATGATGAAAAGATTATCTGAAGAAATATTAAATTCATCGGATCTTACCGACGATTACTGGCAAATAGTTAAAGATTGTTCGGACGAGAGTAATTAATTCTATTATTATTAATATGTGTTTTTAATTAGGTAATAAAATTAAAAAAATGATGGTTATAATTTAATTTATTTACAGAGGGACAAAGTCCAGCTGATACCGCGAAAATTATTCAGCAGTGCATCGATAGTAAAATGAATGGTGGAAATGATGATGGTTTTGCAGAAGATTGATCAATACTTCCAAGATTTGTTCAACGATTATTGTTTATAACAATAGTGTAATACTTTTACTTTCAACTGAGAATTTTAAAATTCTAAAAATTAGCAAGTGTGACTCCCGAGAATTAAGAATTATCAATAAAAATACTTTGGCTCAATAATTTTTTGATAAAAAAATCACAGTATACATTGTTTGAGTACTTTTGAAATAAATTTTACATAACATTGCTATCACAGGATTAATTACCAATAATTTGATGGAAAATGTGAAGGAATAAACTTATAGAACCGAAAAACTATTCAAAATTCCGCCGAAAAATTGACCAACCAAAAAATGTGTAAAGTTGTAAAAAGGCTCTAATTCAGGCCAATATTTTTTCAATGATATTAAATTAAACTTAAAAAATCCCATTTTGTTATTGCACAACTCATGATGCGAAGCATCAAAGAGTGCTTTACGATCGAAAAATGTTTTTCTTGCTCTCCTAGCCGAAAGTACGCTGTTCCTGGACGCACTTTACTCCAGGAAGAGCAACTTTTATGGCCGGCTCAGCTGGCTCTCTACGCATGCGCGCTATGCATATTTTCTGGCCGGCAGCACAGAGCCTCGTTTTCTTTCGTACTTTCGTGGTGCGACGGGCCTATACAGCGAGTTTCGACTGTATATAACAGTCACAACATCGTCTGTATGTAACATGTCAACACATAAACTAACCAAAAAATGTCAAATAAATAAAAATAATTTCTTACTAGATTATTGTTAATGAACTATTTAATAATAATACTGCATAAATAATTTATATAAAAATTTTAGAAAATAAAATATAAAAGTTTTGTGGATTTTATTTGCTTTCTTTCATATTTTAACAGCTAGTAAAGCGATTTGTTTATAAAACAATCCATGTACTCTACAAGCTTCTAATAATTTAATTTCAATCTTTCTTAGCCGTCTAATTAAAAACTAATTTTTAATTAATCAACTTAAAAAAATTAATTCTGTTATTAAATCGAGTTTAAATATTTGTGACAAGTTCTGTGCATGTTATCTCTCTTAATCAGAGTGTTTGTTAGTAAACTTTAAAATAACTTATTTTTTTTTTTATTTATTAATTTTTACTTTTTTTATTATGACCGCCCCGACCAGTAAAACCTCGGCTTCGCCTCGGCTTTGCAAAAGTCGGGCGGCGCCCCCCTCACCCCCGGCAAAACCCCTTTCCCGGGGTTGCGTACTTTCGGCTGGAGAGCAAGAAAAATAGTATACAACCCATGACCAGAATGTTGGATGCCCTGACGTATGTGATATGATGGCCGAGGCGTAGCCGAGGCCATCATATCACATACGCCAGGAAATCCAACTTTCTGGCCTTGGGTCGTAATATACTATTTCACCTCATTTCGGCAACTATTTTAATTATTATAGTCTTGTTAGTTCACGGAATCAAGATATTTTGTATACTATTGTCAAGATAATTTAATGGAGATTAATTTGACACTTTTCAAAAATTCATTTAGTGCACTAGAAACAGAAAAAATCATCAAAATAGATCAAAAAATTTTCCTGTCCGTCATGTATGAAACTCTAAAAACACTATAACTTACGAAAAAATGCATCAATTAAGTTAAATTTTTTTTTTTTAATTCTTACGGAGAATTGTAGGTCACTGAATGCGAATGGTTAGGTAATTCAGTGTCATTCATGTACAATTAACAAAATAAAAAAGCCAGAAGACTGTACTAGTTATTTATGTACCTTGGGCGAGTCACGCACCAATACGGTCGAGGTGATAAGTATTTTCAACAGGGATAGTATAAAGCCGAGGCCCGATAGGGCCGAGGCGTTATATCCCTGCTGCAAATAATTATCGCCGAGACCGTATTTGCGCGTGGCTTGCCCATGGTGCTTAAAAAATTTTTTGTCCTATGGCGGACGTATGCGGGTTTTTACGTGCAGAGGATACTCAATTTATAAATAAATAGCGTACGACGCCATAACCCTCTAATCCTCTAAATAAAAATACATGAAAGTCTTGAAGTTAGTCAAA